GATGCAGAAGATTCCTTTGAACAGTGTGGTTGGTCAACGATCCTTAACTTAGCACGCGGCAAATCCGCATGGCCCGGCGAAGCCGGGCCATGTCACAGAAGGAGGAGCGCCCGGCGACAGCCGGGCGATCCGACTGGTGGCAATATAAACCACTCAGTAGAAGGACAATTTCTGTTTCCATTACCTGCACCGAAATGCCTACCGATGAACGCTTCCCTTTGAATTACACTGCAACCCGCTTGCTGCAGTACAAATAATGGTAGGTACTATACCCCTCTACCATTCGTTCTCATCAGTAATTGAAAGTTTAAAAGTGAAAAAAGCTATTGAACGCATAAAGTGCCACATTATCCAGGTTTCCGGTTCTCCTCGAATTTTCCTGAGTTTCCTGTTTCAGGTAATCTCCGCTCGTCTACAGCGACATTATATATATAGTAGGATAGGATAGTGGGATGGGATCAGTTCATTTCTAGTGATATCAGAGAAGTGATGGCTGAAGGAAAAGTTCGCTTACTGAGATTTTATTGCTTGGCAGTGTATTGATCATAGATGTCTTTTTATTTATTTATTCATTTTAAACTGGAACAGTGTGCCTTAAAAATTGTTAAAGCAGTACTCAAATACTCATTTATAAATGAAAGCCAATATGATGCATGCGGGGCTTGATAGGAGCTGGGTTTTGATTGCTGAAGAAAAAAAAAGAACATAGTTGCGGAGGTCTTGTGTTGAACTATTAGAGGGACATGCAAGCATAGCTAAAACGAACAAAAATACGTGACAACTATCCACACCAGTTGGCTAAGGTGCCTCGTTCCAAAGGAAGTCATTGGAACATGCCAGAACTTCGGAATACGGGTATACCAGCATTGAGAATGTTTCCTGATCTTTTCTTATCAATTGATAGAATTGCTTGTCATCACCCGTCATCAATGTCGCTATCACTAAAACTCCATAATTTCGTGGTGTAGAGGCTCCAGCGTTTGACTGAACAGCAACTGCAACGTTCTCTATCAGCCCCTATCAGCTGTTATCACTTCCTGTCAGCCTCCGTCGCCGTCCCCTATTTCCCCTTATATCATTTGCTGAAATCAGCGTCTAACTGATGCCTTGTCCCGCGTTATGTATGTTGACCTTTCCATTCTAACTCCCCTTATCAAATCTTATCAGCAGCTAGCAGTTCTTGTCACCCACATATTCCTGTGCCATAACCTATATCATACCTTGGAACAAACGCCCCAGTGTTCCAGCCGGATCTCCCGGCTCTGCATCCTTCCCTTGCACATGCTCAGGTCTGGCTGAGCACGTGCAGGGAAAGGAAGCAGGGGTGTGTGCTCTTGCCCCCCCCCTCTTTCTGCCCCACCCATCCTCCCCCGCACGAGCACACGTCCAGCTGCCACGCCAGCAGCTCGTGCAATGGCTCGGAGTGTACCGAATGGTTGTCTTATATAGCGGAGGCTGTTATCACAATCAAAACATTGGATTGATACATCCGCATCAATCGGTCACTAATTTGCCTAGCGGTCGGTTACTCCTCCCGCAAACTCGAACCCGTGAACAGGGTACAGCATCGTTGTGCGAAACCCATGGGGGGTCGTACTTGGCCGCTGGGGAGGGGGGGTCGTAATCTCAAGGGTCACTCAGAGCCGAGCAATGGTTCGACATTTCAGTTGATAGTGGGAGTGGAGCTATGGAAGTCAAGATGTTTAAAAAAAATGAAGTTTATTATGAGTGTATTCTTTACAGCTTTAAATGCTACGTTTAACAGCCCTCTTTTCATGGGAAATGTTCGTACTTGGCCGCGGGGGACGTGGGGAGTATCGCAAAAGTAGGCTCGCTAGGCATCAAACAGTACAAAGGTGTCATTGCTAAGGGTAATGGAACGGACGGAAAGCTTCAGAAGACCCGGATGTAAATAGGAATACAAAATAATAAAAGATTTATTAGCATATACATAGGTTAAATGAAAATATTAGGTTGTCCGGAAAGTTCTTAGCGTTTTGTGCACCTAATCTTTGTACATTCACTACTGATTAAAAACTCATTCTGCCTTGCTTCT